ATCTTTGGATAGAGGAATATATGAAGCCTGGTTTACATAGTTAATAACATTTAATAGCTCTTTCTAACCCGTAGGAACCCTTTCTTTCTTTCTTTCTTTCTTTCTTTCTTTCTTTCTTTCTTTCTTTCTTTCTTTCTTCTTTCTTTCTTTCTTTCTTTCTTTCTTTCTTTCTTTCTTCCTTCCTTCCTTCCTTCCTTCCTTCCTTCCATTCATCCATCCATCCATCCATCCATCTGTCCATCAACCCTGAAGCTGGGTATGTTACTTGGAACTCTGACACCTACCTTCCTTCATTCCTTCCTTCTTCCCTCCCTCCCTCCCTCCCTCCCTCCCTTTCTCCTTTTTCATGGATCAGAGCAGAAAAACAGAAGGAGAGGGGTCCCCTCCTACACTTTTCCCCTTTCATTGTTTTTCTGATCTAAATAGTGCATGATTCTACTGAAAGGCTTGTTAATTTCGGGGAGAGGGAAAATATGACTGCACAGATAAAAATGCAATCAGGCAGGTCTCAGGTTTGGCTCTTACAGGACTTCCTGAAAATACCTGAATAGATATTAAAAGGTCATTTTCACAAGAAAGGCATGTTTATGCTTACAGGTGCTACATCCTCATATTTAAAAAAAAATGGTTTAAAGACTTAAAAGTTGAACCAACTGCCTCTCCTTTCCAACTAAGCTATTTCTGAATCCCCACCAGTAGACAAAGCTTGCCTTGGGCTTCAAAAATTAAGACACTGAGTAAATGCAAGATGAAAATCTCAGTGCACCATTCCCCTGTCTTAATAACTCTTGTACCTTCAAAATGCCACGCCAAGTAAAGAGAATATTCACTCACTTTACAGGAATTTGCCCCTTTTTTTAAAAAAAAACCCTGCGATTATCATGGGAAAATGGCTCTCAAAAAGGCTGTGTAGCATATGGTCCCTCCTATTTTTTCCCCATGGTAACCTTATTAGTTAGATTAGATTGAAAGAAACTGCCCAAGGACTGAAGCTGTGTTTTTTCACTCAGCTCGTCTCTGGTAGCACATACATGCACAATAGCATTTCCCTCTCTCCATAACGCTTATAATATTATATGCTGATGAGTAAGCATACTGGTTCTTTTTTTTAAAAAAAAATTAATTGGTTACAAATTAAAATATTGGACACAGTGTGACTGTCCTGGCGTCATTTTTGCCATACATACTAAAGTATACGATACATATCTTATGTACATTTATACAATTATATAATTAACTTATCCAGTATATACATTTATATTATCTTCTGTGCTATTTATATACGTCATATTATCCATCATATTCAATTATAATTATATACGTAACCTCAATTGTCCATTCTACAAATCCTGATTAGTTTTTATTCTGGGTCTCTCCTTTCTGTTCCCACCATTGATAGAATTCATTCCATATCTCACGCTATTCTGTCTCACCTTTATTTTTCAATTCCAAAGTCAGTCTATCGATTTCTGCACAAATCAGTATTTTCTTTATCACTTCACACCTTCCACGGGGACTCTATTTTTCCATTTTTGAGCAAAAACCATTCCTGCTGCTGTAATAATATGTAATATTAGGTAAGTCACCTCTTTACCATATCTCTCTTTCGTGATTCCTAGTAAAAAATAGTTCTGGTTTGTATTCTATTTTTTGTCCAATCATCTCTTCCAACCACATCTGAATCTTTCACCAAAACTCCTTTGTTTTTTTTACAAGACCACCACATATGATAATATGTGCCTGGTTCTTGATTACATTTCCAACAATTTGGTGATAAGTTTCTAACCTTGCATACTGCTTCTAATTGAGGTTACAGTCTTACTTTGTTGTGTGAACCCAAAGGGTCACCACTCTGGACTATCATAAACTGTAATCACACTGTAATCTCAACTAAGTATAGGCTCAGTTTTCAGCAGGGAGCAATTTTAGGTCTGTAGAACATGGTAAGTGTGTGAATCCAATTAGAGTTATGCTTGCTAACTGGTAAAACTGATGCTTATTTACTCTCACTGATCAAGATTTGAACCTGGAACTTTGTCATTAGATACATTAGCTGTATCATTCTAAATCATTCCAGTCCCATTCAAACAATCTATTCTTCATTCTTTCTTTATTCTTGATTGGCCAAGTGTGATTAGACACATAAGGAATTTGTCTGGGTGCATATGCTCTCGGTGTACATAAAAAGAAAATATACATTTGTCAAGAATAATAAGGTACAACGCTTAATGATAGTCATAGGGTACAAATAGGCAATCAAACAGAGGTGGGTATTCAGCAGGTTCTGACCAGTTCTGGAGAACCGGTAGCAGAAATTTTGAGTAGTTCAGAGAACCAGCAAATACCACCTCTGACTGGAGATTTTACAGTATCCTTCCCCTGCTACGCCCACCAAGCCATGCCCACAGAACCCGTAGTAAAAAAAATTGAATCCCACCACTGCAACCAAGTCATACAATGAAATAGTCAATATAAATTGTATGAATAAAAGCGACAAAGTTACAGTCATACAGTCACAAGTGGGAGGAGATGGGTGATAGGAACAATGAGAAGATTAATAGTAATATTATTACTATGCAGACAAACAATCTACAATCCAGCATCTTCAGATTTGTCCTCTCCCCCTTCTGATACACAATAAAACATTTTTTTTTAAAAAAAAATCACATTCCACCCCCAATAATAAAATGACATGCATTGAAATAACTGTCAATGAAGAACTTGAATCACTAGATTTTAGAATGGATGGTTGGTTACTCTTTGTGGAAGATGCCAACAATCAAAAATTGAGATCTTCCTATTGACTGGCCAACAAAATCCCATATGAGATAATTATAATTATTATACCAATTTTGATTGGAGCCCTCAGAGTAATACTTAAAAGGCATCTTTATCTTCCAATAACTGGAAGTATTGAATTTATTAGGCCCTAACACCCTGATTTTGCAAAACAACCAACCAACCTATCCTGCTTGGAATTGGTTACATTCTTAGATGCTATCATAATAATTTTTAGATCCTTGGTTTAGGGCTTGAATTATTAAATTCAAGTATTAAAGTGTGAATCTAACTGTAGTTTATCCACCCACACTATTAATAATAGCAATGCAAAGGGAGAATTTCAATTCTTTTTAACTATTATTTTTTCTATAAGTAGTAATAAGTGCCTCTTTTTCTTTCTCATTGCATCCTTCCAAGACATATTATATAATTAGGCATATTATACCTGGACTGCAAAAATCCAAATGACCATTGGATACTGAAAATTCTCCTTTTCCCCTGCAAAGAGTGGATTTGCACACCCCCTAGAAATGGTTCACCACAGTGACGTTTAAAAACCCAGAAACTCCAAAAATCACAAGCACCAATCAATCCAATTTTATTCACAAAACAGCCTCACCAAGATAAGCTTGAGAGTGGCAAGGCAGTCTCTAAAAAGAATACAATGCATTTTCCATCCTAAAATAAAGACTGAGGCGGATCAGTACCCGAGTTCATGAATGTGGTTAATGCTGCTTTAAATCCCATGATAGGATTGTGTGTGGGGGGGGGGGGGGGGGGGGAAAGTGGCTGGAAAAGTGACTTAAATGCTAAAAGCAATCACAGATACATTGGCCTAAGGCGGAGAGGGTCCAATCCAAAATCCCTAGCTTGGGAAAAACTTTTTAATCCTAAAATAGCATGAAAGGACGGGCAAGCTTCCAAGTTCTGCAGAACTCATCATCAAAGAGAAGACACAATAGAGGCAGGAGAATTCCAAATCTGGAAGCTGCAAATTCAGACCTTACACTTGCTGCTGCTTCTCTCTTCCTTGCTTGCGGGGATAATTTTTTTTTTAGTAGGGGGTATCCTGCCACCATGAAGAGCTCCAGGGGGAAGTTGATTATTTGATTTTATTTTGGGGCATTTTGTGCCATTTTGGCGGGTATCAATTAAGTGATGGTTTTTTTAAATCAACCCAATGGCTAAAGCCTGTCTGGGAAAAAAGTTTGTGGTTTGCATAGTAGCCGAGCTGCTTGGAGATCTGTGTGGAAAGCTGTCAGGGGGTTAATTGCACTTCCTTGTGTGTGCAAAGGACAGTTGGACCTGGGGGAGGGGAGGGGGCAGGTTTTACCCAACAAGGGGGGTGGGGGGCGAGCTTGTTTACCTGAGAAAGGGAAGCTGAACTCAATTTCACAACCTTGGAAGATGAGCTAGCCAGCTCGGCTCCACCACTACTTTCACATGGTAATTTAGTCAAATTATACCTCCAACTTAAAAAACAAACAAAAAACCTAGGGAAAACGTAGGTGAAATCGATGGCACGCGGGATCGATCGCCTGCAGTGGGTTCCAAAGGGGGTGCCCACATTTCTGAGAGAGAGAGAGAGAGAGAGAGAGAGAGAGACCCTAAAACGGGCAGAAGGAACCTTAAGAGGCTCATAAATGAAGAATCAATCTTATTTCACCCGTCCGGGTGGCGATTAAAACGGCCCCTCTTTGCGGATACAGATGCAGCGTTCAACATCTGGATCCGGGGTAGACTTTACCCCGGATCAATGAAGACGGGGCGCCGGGGGGGGGGGCTTCCCAAAGGTGCGGTCTTTTGTCTACGGTCCCAGTGACTCTTCACACACACACACACAGATGACACACGTTGGTTTTCCCTCCCCGGAGCGAGAAAGGAACCCGGGGAAGAAAGGGCGCCACGTGGAAGGGCATCGCTGCGCCCTGCTTTCTAACCGGGGCGCGCGCGCGCGCGGAGGGACGGAGAGCGGGACCCAGCGGCAGCAGCTGGGTTGGTCCCAGCCAGCCGTTTGGGGCGGAGGAAGCCTTTCCCACCCCCCCCCCCGGCCGCTGTCCCCGAGCGGAGACCGCCTCCCTCCTCTTTCGCTGCAGCCCAATTCCTCCCTTGCAGCCGCTACTGGGCGAGGAGGAGGAGGAGGAGGAGGGGGGGGGGGGGGGGCCCCCCCGCGGGGCCGGGGGGGGGAAACCCCCGAGAAAGGGGAAGGGGAACGCGGAAGGGAGCGAGAGCCGCGGCCGGAGCCCATCAGGGCCGCGCTGAAGAGCGGGCGAGCGAGCGAGCGAGCGAACGAAGGGCTGCCCAAAGAACCAACCCAACCCAGGCAGCCGGCCCGGGTCTCCTGCCAACTTTGCGCCCGGGAGAAGCGCCTCGCCGTCCAAGGGGGGAGCCCAGGCTTCCCTCCTCCTCCCCCCACCCACCCACCCAAACCGAGGTCCCTCTACCCCCCTTCCCCGGCTTCCAGGCTCCCTCCGGCGACCCCTTCCACCATGAAGGCGGCGGGCGACCCGAAGCCCACCTTGACCATCATCAAAGCCGAGAAGGTGGAGGTGGATCTCTTTCCATCCCCCGGTGAGTGAAACCGCTCGCATCGCCTCCCGGACATCGCCGGGCAAAAAAAAAGGGGGGCAAATGGCTCGGCCGGCCGCGGCCGCCGCCCATCCCCTCCTCCGGGCTCCTCGGGGGTCAGTTTCATCCCAGACCGTTCAAGCCGTGGCCCATTTCCTTTTTCGTTCTTTTTTTTCCTTTTCTTCCTTTCCTTTCCTTTTTTGCTCTCCTTCGTTCAGAAACTCCTCTTTTCTTTCCTGACTTTCGGCGGCTCTGGGGGGACTCCTCCCCTCCCCCAATCCTTGCTGTCTCTTCCCCCCCCCCTCCCTGGGGAGGATGCTGGCTTCAATCCTGGATCCTTTCGCTTCTTGACCAGGGAAGGGTCCGTTTTGGTCCCCAGCTTTGAACTGTATTTGTAAATTCGTGGGAAGTTTTTTTTTTTTTTGGGGGGGGGGGGGGGGGGGAGAAAAGAAAAAGGGGGGGGAGAGAGAGAGACCGAACGTCCTGCAAGCATCACCGCGGTGGTGTCAAGTCAGCTTCTGACGCTTCTCCACCCATCTCGGCTCCTTGCTATTAGGTCAAAGAGGAGGCGATTGGGTGGGATGTGGGTCGGGGATCCAGGGACCTCCTTGCCTCCAGAAACCTGGAGTGTGTAAGATAATATCTGCGCCTCCTATTGACAATTGTACCCTACTCTTCCAGACCTTATGTTTCCCCCTCTGGCCTCCGTCATTATTGATTGATCGATCGGGTCGATTGATCTCTCCCTGACTCCTCTCGCCTCCCACCTCTTTTCCCCTCCTTTCTTCCCCCTCTCCGCGTTTCTGTCTGTGCGGAGGTGTAATACAATTTTAGGCATGTGGTTTGAAGAAACCTTATAGATCTGGCCCGGGGTGTTTGTGTGGGCTTACAGCAAATAGCTCTTCGCTGAAAAGTTGCCTATTGGACTTACTCTACCATAAACTCGAGGTGCCAGGAGCCCCTTCTAAAGGGAGAACCCAGAGGAACGATGCAAGAAGAGATAGCATTTTAACAACTGATTATATTAAATGAGGCCGGTGCTTTCATTGAATGTTGTCCCTTGAGTTGCAAACATGTTCAAAGTAGATTCTCAATTAAAAAACAAACAAACATGAACTGCATTGATAGTGTATGGAGATTCTCAATCCTCCAGATCTATCCTGGTTGTCCCAATGGTGCTTTTCAAAAGGCAACTGGACTTTTTTTTTCCTTGAAGAGGTTTTTCCCTTCTCATCTAAGAAGCTTCTTCAATTCTGAAGGTTTCCAGTTCAGAGCTGAAGAAGCTTCTTGGATGAGAAGGGAAACGCTTTCAAAGAAAAAACAAAAACAAAGTCCAGTTGTCTTTTGAAAAACACCTTTGGGACATTGATAGCGTAGTATGCAGGAGTCGTCTACTCAAAAGTAACGCATTTGAATCCAGTAGAATTGACTTCCTCCAAGTTGAATTGTAGCTTGGGCGCCCTTAAGTCAGCGATTTCTTTGGGCCCTTCTAAATAGGGCAAGCTCTTGTTTTTTGAGTTTTCTGCCAGAAAAGATGAAGCTGTAATGCATGAGGTATCTAGAGAATGTGGATCCTTCCAGAGATTTAAGGGAGATCTAAGGACGATAAAATTCTGATTACTTTCTTAACCTTTTTCATGTAACATTTATATACACGCCTCTAAAAAAAAGAACCTTCCTAAATTTACTCCCCTTTCTAAGTGGGCCTTAACTCAAGCCAAAAATACAATGTTTTGTTTGTCTTGGGAAGAAAATAAGTTTTGTTAATGATTAGGTCTTATTTGGGTAGTTTTCCCCTTTAAGATATAAATGCTTAATACCCCTTGAGGGTGTTTTCCTTTTTCTGTGGTCAAGTAAATATATCTCGGCTATTCCCCCCCCCCCCCAACCCAAAATCATTATGGCAGAATACAGGTCCTAGATCGTTTGTAACTCCCACCCCCAGCCTGAAAGGCTGGGAAAACTATGATGAAAGAAAAGGGAAGGGCAGAGAGAAAAGAGTCCACCCTTTGATGCTATCTTGTGGAGATGATTTCAGGAGCATGTTGCAATGCTGTTGGGACCATCAATAATGTTAACTACTCAGTGTTAATTCTAAACCCAATCTTGGTGCCTTACTGGGAAAATCTGCATTCTTTTAACCTTATGTGACTTTGTAAGCTCCAAAGGTTAAGGATACTGCTACTGTACTGGATTCCTAGAAAGAAAACAGTATTTCGAGTTTCCTTGTTGAAGCAAAAGGCTAATCACAGCTACATTCCCATGGTGAGGAAAGGATTAAAGCTCAGCATTCAGATGATTGCCACTATGGCTGAATGTCCTCTCTTCTTCTTCTTCTTCTTCTTCTTCTTCTTCTTCTTCTTCTTCTTC